CATCCCCCCGCTCTGAGAGAATGCACCTCGTCGCCGTCCAGAAGGTGGCGCTAGTCTCCACTTCTGCCCGCCGTGGCCCTGCAGCGTCTCCCCACACGCACGCCAGCACCCTCCGTTGCCAACTTTTTTGCTTTTGCTGGTGTGGATGGCGTCTCCTTATGGTGTTATTTCGTGTTTCACCTACAAGCCAGCTGGTTACCTTTTCATAGACCCTCCTTTTGACAGAAGAGGAGACAGAGGTCCAGGGAGGTGGGGTGTCTGGCCTAGGACTCACCCCAGTGGACGAGGAGGTGGTGCAACCCGGGTCAGACTCCAAAGCCGGCCCGTGGTCCGTCGGTTCCCAGAGAGGCAGGTGGGCGCCGCTGTGCCCCCGCGGGAGCCAGGAGCAGAGAGTGTGGGTCAGCGGAGGCAGGACCTCCATCCCGCCCCCCGCCCTGGCGCCCCACCCGCCTCCCCGAGAGGCTCAGCAGGAGCCCGGCGCGCGAGGCGTGCGCCCTCTGCCTGCGGCGGGGCTGGGCCCCCTCGGGCCGGGGCTTGCCTGCGATCTCGGCTGGGCTGAAGTCACCAGCGAGCTACCTGCCAGCTCCTCGCGCGTCAGTTTCACCCGGATGCTTGGCACCATCGCACGTTCCTAAGCCAACTGTAAAAGGCCATTTTAAAGGCCACGGGGGGTGGGGACTCCAGTCTGGCCGGGTCTGAGCTGACCTTAAGGAATGAACGATCACTCAGTTTGTTAGGGGTGAGGGTGCCATTGTGGGTCTATAAGGAGCTGGCCTTATTTATTTATCTTTTGGGAGGTGGCCCCGCTGCCCCTCGACCCCAGAACCTCCCAGCAGTTTTGGGGCTCTTGGCTGTCCCTCTCCACCCGCCCCTGACCCAGAGGGGCAGAACCAGAGACCCCTGAGCCCAGCCACTCCCACTGCCCAGCTGGGGAAACTGAGGCCCGAGAGGCCACCCGCCTTCCCAAGGTCGCACAGCAGACTCTTGCTGTTCCTTAATATATTCCTCATTAGTTAACTCTGACGTTTATTCATTAATATATTGATTCATTCAACACATGGTGCAGTCTGTGGGCCAGACCCCTGCGGGCACTGGGCGGCCCTAACAGTGACCAAGACTGAACAAGCCCGTGACCCCTGGAGCGCTCAGACCCAGGGAGCATCAAATCTCACGAAGAGATTGAAGTTGAACCTCGGGAAGGGTGACAGATGGAAGGTGCATGGAGCGGTGGCTGTGTGTCACAGGTTCCGACGCGGTCTGGGGAGGGTCAGGGCGGCCCCTGAAGGAGGGGGTGCTTGATTGAGCCCTGGTGGTGGGGTGGGAATTAGATGGTGTAGAAACGGCATCTAGGCGGAGGGAACTGCTGGGTCAAAGTCCTGGCAGCAAGAAAGAGTGTTGCCTGTTGGAGGAGCTGCAAGGAGCCTGGTGTGGCTGATTGGACGAAGTGAGGAGACCCCGGGGCTGGAGGGGGTGGGAGGGTTGGGGACAGGGCACTGAAGATCCTGATAAGGAGTTAGATTGGATCCCAGAAGTTGTGGGGACTGTGGAAGGAATTCTTCCCACAAAACTGGCAAGCTAAAGTTCATTCAAGAAAACATTTATAGAGCGCTTACTGTATGCACAGCACATGGTTAGGAGATGAATAAGACACAGATACTTTCCACAAGGAGTTATCTCAGTGGGGACAGAGAGGAAAACTTAATATTTGTTGCACACTCCAATGTGCCCTACAAACTATACCATGTCAACTTAGAAAGCAAATTTGCCTGTTATTTTATCTCCAAATGAGTTTATTTGGGAATAGCCAAAAGAATTGCAATTTGGGAGGCACATGCTATGGTGAACCACAGGCAAATCCAACAACCAAAGGCGGGGAGCTGCTTTTATGGAGAAAACGGGGGAGTAGGGAGGGGCTGTTCTAAATGAAAGTCCACTGGGGGAACGTAACAGGTCAGGGTGGCAACGGCTTCTCATTGGCTGAGCTGTGGCGTTTCTCATTGGCTGAGCTGTGGC